AAAAAAAAAAAAAAAAAGGAAACCCAATTTCATAATTAGACGCATTTTGCTTCTTCTTCACGCGGAGTTTTTTCGTTTAAGAGGTTATCAGGGGGAAGACCGTCCGCATACCTTCTCCACATCCTATGTAATAAAGCTTCCATATCAGCGCAATACTGCCTAACATTAAAGAGGGTTGACGTTGTCCGAGCTTTCCATACCTTGGCTCGTATTTGACTCAAGCTGAAAAAAAAGCAGATTCAGAAGTCTCTGCAACCACCAGACAGCACCATGACCATCAAGAAGTTTCCTGTTAAAAAATCCATTGCAATCTTTAAAGCTCCAGATTCCTTACTATTCTCTGTCTGTTCCTAGACGGGTAGCAATCTGAACGTAATCCTCACGATTAGCAGCCACCAACTCTGGGACTCCCAACGCATATAACTGGCTAGATGCAACTCGTGACGCCAACGTTTCCACTAGAAAAAGCATTCAGCGCATCTATTTCCAACCCAAAAAACTAATTTCGATAACCGTGAAATGTAAAATGGAAAAGAAGCAATAACGCGTCTTACTCGGCATGGTAACCATCGGAGTACCAGTCCACAGAATATCCATACCCGTAGTATGACCGTTACACAACGGAGTGTCCAAACAAACGTCTGCCAGTTGACCTCTTCTGACATGCTCTTCTTTTGCAGCAACGTTGGAAAAAACAATCCGTCGCACATCGATCCCACGTTCGCCACAAAACCGAGTAACATTCGGCTCACCATGGAACGGGAACCGGAGCAGCCATAAAACACTATTTGGCACCTACAATGCTTGACAATAGTCCCTTACAACAGAATAAATAAATCCATCAATAATAAGCAACCTGTTTCAGAATTTCACACCACATGACCAACGTCGGAGGATCAATTTTGTACAGTTGATTGAAGTTACAGAACACAACAGCTTCTTCTGGTAAACCGTACTGTTGTCTTGACGTGACCAAAATTGTATGAGGGACTTCCTCACCAGTAGCTGCTTTTACGTGAGTCTGAAAGCACTCATACTTAACGAGACAGTAAAAACAATATCCCATAAAGTGATTTAAGAAAAAAAAGCAAGAAGCAGCAAGAGTAAGGAATCTTTAAAATTACAGCGCATAAGTACACACTAACCTGATTAAGTGTAGTAAGCCCATTCTGGACAGGAATTCCTTCAACGCTACCTGCTATCATCCCAGACCCGATCATTTGTTTCAATGGTTCCGTAGTTGGAATTTCTATCACAGGAAGAACAACTTCTGTTTTGCGCATGTCTTTCTCAGGCCCATGTACAACTTCAGCCTCACGCACAAAAGGCTAGAAAGAAAACCCTGCAGCTACAGAAGGCACTTTTGGTGATCCAAAAAAACAGGTAGTCACTTACCTTAACAACCTCGGCCTTCGCCAGAAGTGGTTCCAAATTCACTGAATTTACAACAGTAACCGTATCTTTCGATATAGGAATGGGGTCATTTTTTTCCTGAAAACCCCATTTTCTCGCACAATTAGATATTCTTGTGGAAACCTATGCAGTGTTTCTAATGTGAAGTTGATACTAAACCTTGAGTATCACTCTTTCGGTTAGATGTTTCAGCATTTGTTGATGGTCTCCAATAAAGAAAGTGTGAGGCATGTACGCGAGCTTTTCACTATACGCATGAGAGAGCTCAATTGGTGAAGTAATAGCATCAGTTATAATATAATCCATAAAAGGAGCACCAGAAGTACCAGGATATCCTAACCACATTACCTAAACCACACCTGCTAATATTCCGGAAAGATGGAACATATAAAAAGGCAAATCGAAACGGGTTACGAATTAAGTTCTTCAATGAAGTACACAAACCTGAATGGGTGCAGGACGGAGCGCAAAAATTTCGTTACGTGCACCCTTTGTATACCCGTTCATATTGATCAGTATATGAATACCGTCTTCATGAATCCTATCTGCTGCCTTTGCATTACACGTAATCTAGAAAATTTTCATATTTCATAAATAAACATCATTAGAAGTAATAACAAATGCTATATAGTGCAGAAGTCAGAATGTGGTTGAGAGCTGCAAAATATAGCTACCTGAGACAAGTCTACAAAGTGCTCTGACTCGTTCATTAACTTTTGCCTAAAGTTCGTTCCATCATTAGCAGATAACGCGTAACAAAAAACCTGAAATCCTTCGTTCGTAAAAAAAAATGCAGATGAACTCATGAGGATAACAACTAATAACTCATACCTCTACATTCTCTCTATTATGCATCCCAGGTATTGACTGCATCAAATGGCTTGTTGGATGATTACCAAAATCTGAAGACACGTAACCAATACGCAAACGACTCCCTTTCCTGACGCTATTCCGTGCGGGAAAAGTGTACGGGGGCTTATGAAATACTTGTACCTGAAGTTACTGTGAATGTGAAACAAAAATACGTAATGAATCAAGTAGTACAAGCAAAAGTTACTAAAAATGTATCTACTCTGTTAAACACACCTTTTCAATGCAAAGTTGAGCATGTTTTGCTGCAATGGCCATTCTCTGTTCATGTGTTAGAGGATAAAGCATTGTGTGATGGGGATGGACCGACGGCAACCTTTTCTTCTGCAACTGGTCTTCGACTATGCTAACAAGTTTCTTCATTCGGTTATCATAATCTGTCCAGTCACAAATTATCTGAAACAATAAACAGCCATCCAGACTTTACCGTCGTATAATTCAAGTTTAGCCGCACACGAATAACAATAATAAATCACTTTTGGTGCCAGAAACCAAGTAATTCTGAACCTGTAAACAGTGAGCCAAATTGCAGAACGCATCGGGAAAGTCTGGCTTCAGTTTCAGCGCTGTCGAATAACTAGAAATTGCATCCGGAATGTTGCCAGAATCCTTTAAAAAAAATGTTGAAATAAAATACAAAAAAAATACGAAGCAAATATGCTACGAATGAAAGGAAATCTACTTCTCAGTTGGATAACACCACACTTACCTTATGAATACTTGCTAGGTTACTGTGGGCGTCTGCAAATCCTGGATTAATTTGTATTGCACGAGTATAACATTGTAGTGCGCCGTTAACATCTCCCATTTCTTTTAAAGTGTTCCCCATATTTGAATAGGCATCGGCAAATGTAGGGGCAATACGTATGGCCTCTTTATAATGATTTATCGCATCTTGCAACTTTCCTTGCTGTTGCAGAATCGACGCCAAATTGCTATGGGCCGCTGCGAATTCAGGGTAAATCTAAAGAAGCCCAATTTTTCTTACTGAAACTCTCTCTAACAGCTCTGAACGCTCCAGAAATGAAAGTTAAAAAAATTGCAACAGGGCGCTGGAAACCTTTCATGATCTGAAGCTGTCAAAACCAAGTACCTCAAGTGCTTTCAAATACAATCTTGTTGCCTCTTCGATTTTCCCTTGTTCCCTTTTGATATTTGCAAGGTTATTCTGCGAATCGGCGTGGGATGGGCAAAGCTATAAATAAAAATATTTTAGCCACTCTCAAAACTAGTAGTAATGCGCGAGGCAACACCAGCACCCAAAAAACAACAGCCGAAAACATCTAAAAGCTTCGCGAGTAAGACTAAGAAATAAGAGCAAAGAGCAAAATTAAAATGAAGAAAAAAAACCTTAAACAAACCTGCAAAGCTTTATTATAAGCAGCTTCAGCATCTGCAACAAGGCCCTTCTCTTTCAAGGCATTTGCTAGATTACAATATGCATCTGGAAAATTTGGCTGCAATTCAATAGCCTTTTTGTACATATCAATTGCCAAATCAATCAGCCTGAAAATTTCCGATGATGCAGCGAAGAAACACATTTAAAAAGAAACAACTAAATCCTGAAGAATCAAGTTACCCTTGTTCATAATAGACACAAGCAAGATTCCCATGAACGACTGCATGATTTCCAGCGATATTTAGCGCTCGAAGATACGCAGCAACTGCTCTGGAAAAGTTTTTTTTATTTGCAAAACTCAACACAGATTAAGATGCCATGACAAAAAAAATTACTCAAGGAGAAGGACCGATACCTGTCAAATATTCTTGCTTCCTTTAACACATTACCAAGATTAATATATGCGTCCAGAAAATTGGGATCTAATTGTACTGCCTTTTCAAAATGATGAATTGCAAGCCAAATTTCACCTTGCGCATTAAAAACACACCCCAAGTTAGACCAAGCTACAGCAAACTGTGGTTGAGTCTCGATAGCTTTCAAGTAGCACACCTTAAAATTAAAAGTAATCAAATAACAATAAAATCTACATTCCCTGCACACAAACTGTGTCAAATTGAGACTTTTCTTCAAAAGCCAAAAGCAAAAGCGGAAAGAATCTCAAACCTATAAGACAAATATTGAAAAAAGCTACGGAAAATCTAAAGGGCAAATTCAGTCATTTTGATTAGTCGACAGAAATATATATTCTTCCGAAACCGCGACAATAGATTTACATTAATGTAACTTACCTTTAAACGAAAGGAATTAATAATCTAAAATAACTTCCCTGCCATCATTAAACAAAACTGATGAGTAAACTGAACGACAAAGAAGAGTTACGCGGCACCTACTACGCATAGCAGCCGTAAAAAGAAGACATGAAACCTACGACAAACTACAGAACAACGAGATACAAAATACACGACCTGTCGAAAATAAGCCAAAACTCGTGTTGTTTTAAATAACACCAATAATTTCACCAGGAAACAACAACAAGAAAAAAGTGAAGAGACAATAGATAAATAATGCATAGCCAAAAGCGACTTGGTTACGAACAAGTAAAAATAGTCTGCATGAAAAAAAGATGTATACAGTGATTGTTATTTCCATACCGAATAAAGGAGCAATCCATCGAAGTGATCCAAAGCACAACCATCGGCATAAATTCGAATGAGCTCTGACCCAGCTTGCGAACCTACATTGAACCACAATCATCCACTTTTGACAATCGAAACCGCATTTTCCTGCTTGCGAAATCACCAAAAGGAGCATGCACAAACTGAGTCTCTCAACCTCCACTACTTTTTTACTTAGTAGTAAATAGAACTTGACTCCAGGTTACTTGAGCATAAAATCCCAGAGTGTAAAACTCAATTAGGAAGTTGGGAGCCACGTTTTTATTTTTGTGGGTTTTTCATTTTAATGAAAATTGATGTCCGGCACTTGGTAATGATCATTTAATACCTATATAAGCTAATCTTGAACAGGAGATCTGAAAGTGAATAGGAACTACTGTCCCACTTTACTAAGTTCCTTTCCGTTGTGCAAAGAATGCCCGTAAGAACAGCCTTACGCCACTTATAACAACAAGACTGTGAATTTACACCCAAGACCTTCCCAACGCATCGCTCCTTAAAAACGAAGGTGAATAAAGTACGTCCTCGTTATAAAGGGACCAGAAAACCATTGCAACTGAAGAACTAGCACCAGTTTCTTCAAAATAACAAAAGTCACCAAGAGCAGCAGATTTCGTATAAGAAGAAACTGCATGCACAGCTCTCAGCCGCAAGGATGTAGAAAGACTGAAACGAACTCAAGACCTAGAATTCAAGTAAAATTCATCAGTAAAATGTTTCAGTACACTGAAGCATAAAAAAGTTTAACAGCCGTAAGTCCGTTACCAGTCATTTTAACGAACGATGGCGTTTACATGTTAACTAAATGTCAGGGTTAAAAGAAGTAAGTTAAATTTCATTCCTGAAAGAGAGAACCCAGTGAAACTTGAAGACAACCGTCAATCAAAAGCAACAAAAACAGCGGAGACAAATTCTTCCACAAATACTAGTTAACAATCGAACGCCATCATTAGTTCAAAAGGTCGCGAGCCAGCACATCAAAAGAGGAGTGACCTACATATTTGGAAGTGACTGCCTTCTTAAACTCAAAAACCGAGTTCATAACTCTTCCCCACCATCTGACGATAAGTTTAATATAAAAATTTTAACCTCTTTTATAATGAAAGCAATCAATTCCAGATTTACAACAAAAACCGATTACTCAGACGCGCGCGCAGATTGGGTGACTCGAAAAGCCGTCAATTAAGTTCTCTTTTATTCTTTTTGAGTAATGTATACAAAAGCACCACACAAATAAATTGCGTCAAAATTTTTCAAAAACTTCTACAAAACCAAAAAATATAAATGGTGCTTCTGCATGCATCATGAGCAACAAATTGCCGAGTACAAAATTTATTTTTTTAACCCCCTCCCAACTGTTCCTCAGAAAACAAATGCCTCCGGCAGTAATATCCAAACATTAATTGGCGACTTCTCAGCGTTAGAGTAAACGTACTTCATGCATCTTCGCTTTAAGTTGAGTAACAAAAGTTGGCACTTACCCCAACTCAACCACCCTTCAAAGAGCCAACTTCTGTATTCAACGATGCTAAGCGAACGCTAGGATGGATCGCATCCCTATTTCACCAAAACAAGCAGCATTTTCAATAGAGCTTCCATCTCCTCTTACTATATCCAAAAGTTATCAATCCCTTTTGTTGATGGGAAGAAATGCTCATTTTCAATTTTGTTTTTCGTGACCTAAGACCACCTTTTGCTTTTAATACTCTTAAACTTTACAATAATTTTAAAAATTTTTTCCAACCTTCGCCTCCTCCAAGCGACCCATAGCCTTCAACAAATTTCCGAGGTCGCTCCGGACACAGTACAAATCCTAAACAAAATTTCACTGTGAAAGTAGTATTGAAGAGAAGTATAAAACGAGCGTGATGTTGTAAAACAGTTCTCAAACGTACAGGATTGTACCGTAGAGCCTGCATGTATGCAGTAACAGCAGACTCCATATCACTGACTTGTACCAGCGCTGCAGCCAAGTTTATGTACCCATCAATAAAATCAGGTTTTAATCTCACAGCCATCCTATAATTGTCCAGAGCTTCCGACAGCATGTTTCGTTCCTTGAGAATTGTATTCGCGTATACCACAGAAAGCCAAAATTGAATCTTTGAAAATTATGCAAAAAATACCTTGTATACGTTGCCTAAATTGCTGTAAGCCTCAGCACAATGCGGATTGGCTGTTATAGCAAGTTTCGAAAAATGCATTGATCTGGAAAAAAAGAAATATTTTAAGGGAACAGTGAA